GTTATCTAATAAAGAAAAACAAAAACAAATAAATAAAATAAATAAATAAAATAAATAAAATAAATAAATAAAATAAATAAATATTTATTTATATTAATTATATATATTTATAGTATAATTATATTTATAGTAATTATATAATATAAATCTACTAAACACCAACAAACACAAATAAATAAAATAAATAAAATAAATAAATAAATATTAATTAATATAATATAAATAAAAAGAAGAAAGAGACAAATAGGGACAAATGGAGACAGGCAGAGAGACACCAAAAGGAGACAGAAAAGGAGACAGAAAAGGAGACAAAAAGGAGACAGAAGAGGAGACAAAAGGAGACAAAAAGGAAACAAAAGGAGACAGAAAAGGAGACAGAAAAGGAGACAAAAGGAGACAAAAAGGAGACAAAAAGGAGACAAAAGGAGACAGAAAAGGAGACAAAAAGGAGACAAAAGGAGACAGAAAAGGAGACAAAAGTTAGTGACCTGAAGGGGCGAGCGGTGGGGGAGCTGACACTCCGCCCCAAACTGAGACCACACAGAAGGGCCCTCGCTGTCCGCCACATGCCTGCAGCAGCAGCAGCAGCAGCAGCAGCAGCAGCAGCAGCAGCAGCAGCAGCAGGAGTAGCAGCAGGGGTAGGAGTAGGGAGAGGAGGAGGAATAGCAGGAATAGCAGCAGGAGATGTAGCAACACCAGCAGCAACAGCAAAAGCAGCAGCAGCAACAGCAGCAGCAGCAAAAGGAGCAACGGCAGCAGCAGCAACAGCAAGAGCAGCAGCAGCAGCAACAGGAGCAACAGCAGCAGCAGCAGCAGCAGCAGCAGCAAAGGCAGCAGAAGGAACAGCAGCAGGACATGCAGCAGCAGAAACTATGTAGGACGGAAGGAGCACAGTGCAGGCCTAACCCTAACAAACCCTAAACCCTCGTAAACCCTAATAAACCCTAATAAACCCTAAACCCTAATAAACCCTAAACCCTCGTAAACCCTAAACCCTCACCATTTGAGACACAAAGGCAGCACAGCCTTCGCTCCTGTACCCTGGGGGCCCCCCCACTTGCTGCTGTCAGCAGCGGGGGGCCCCCAGTGGGGGGCCCCCCACGAGAGAAAGGCCTCATCAAGCCGCAGCAGCACACTGTACTGCTCGCGAGGAAGCAGAGTCACTGGCAGGTCCCCCTGCAGCAGCAGCAGCAGCAGCAGCAGCAGCAGCAGCAGCAATAGCAGCAGCAGCAGCAGCAGCAGCAGTAGCAGCAGCAGCAGCAGCAGCAGCAGTAGCAGCAGGAGCTGAGTTTGTTACTGCTGCTGTCTACGCCCGCCGTCTGACGTTCGAGTAGCTAGCTAGCTAGCTAGCTAGCTAGCTAGCTAGCTAGGGAGACAGCTAGCTAGACAGATAGATAGACAGCTAGCTAGATATATAAATATACAGCTAGCTAGCTAGCTAGCTAGCTAGCTAGCTCTCTATCTATCTGGTAGCCCATAGCTGGCAGAAGATATGCGGCGTCAAACCCTAAACCCTAAACCCTAAACCCTAAACCCTAAACCCTAGACCCTAAACCCTAAACCCTAAACCCTCACTTGTGCATTGGAGTTGACGCTCCTTAGAATGACATTTTCTACAACGACCGGAATCGAGTCTACAGAAGAAACACAAAACTCTAAACCCTAAACCCTAAACCCTAAACCCTAAACCCCAAACCCTAAACCCTAAACCCTAAACCCTAAAGAATTGGAGCTTGGCGGTCTCTGCTTGTGCAGCAGCAGAAGCCCAATAAAAGCAGCAGCAGCAGCACGAAATCCAGCAGCTCCATCCTAAACCCCAAACCCTAAACCCTAAACCCTAGACACTAAACCCTAAACCCTAAACCCTAAACCCTAAACCCTCGACATACCTGTAGAGTTTTCTATTTGTACATACATATATGAATCCATAAGAGCTGTGGTGACCTGCAGCGGCCTCCTCACTCGCAGCAGAGAAGAGACAGAAAACAACTGTCTCCTTTTGCTGCTGTCTCCTCCTGCGGTGTCTCCTTGTCCCTGCACCAGAAACACACGCCATCGGGGTTTAGGGTTTAGGGTTTAGGGTTTAGGGTTTAGGGTTTAGGGTCTAGGGTTTAGGGTTTGGGGTTTGGGGTTTAGGGTTTAGGGGGTTGCAGAGGAGAAACCACCGAAATACACCCTACACACAACAGCAGTCTTTCCCTCAAACCCTAAACCCTAAACCCTAAACCCTAAACCCTAAACCCTAAACCCTAAACCCTAAACCCTAATATACCATTGCTGCTGCTGCACTTAGGGCCTGCATCATCAGCTCCATTGATAGAGACACTCGCTCAGAAGGGATAGATAAGGGGTAGTATATATCTCCTCTTGGTGTACAAACCCTGCTGCTGCTGTTGCTGCTGCTGCTGCTGCTGCTGCTGCTGCTGCTGCTCGGGTAAGAAGATGTCTGCTGCTGCTGCCCCTCGCCTGCTGCTGCTGCGCCTGCTGCTGCAGAAGACGA